GCCCCAGCCCCCCCTCGCAGACGTCTTGCAGCCAGACCCAGAGCCCAGCCCACCATCACCCCGCTGCGTGGCGCTAAAGCCAGAGCCCACTGCTGACGGAGAGCCAGAGCCCGCTGCGACCGACGAGCCATCGCCAGAGAGAGAGACCATGCTGAGGATCGCCCCAGAGCCCTTGACGTCAGACCAGGTGCGAGAGCCGGCTACAGAGCTCGCCACGGGGGAGAACATCAAGGACAGCGAGAGTGTGGAGGGAAGCTCTGCCCACTGGACCATGGCTGAGGGTGAGCTGAGCTCAGTGGACTGTAATTGGGATATATATGCAGACATGCCCCCTCTTCTCACGCCTTAGTCTAAACTCTCTGCCTGCCCTGAAACATCAGTCTGCCCTGAACACTCTGTCAGTCCTGTTTTGGATATGGAGGCCGTTTGTGAACTCTCTGCCTGCCCTGAATTATCTATCTGCCCTGAACTGTCTGCCAATGGGACAGCGACCACGGAGGTCGTTCCCCTGTCCGCTACGCTTCCGGTGTTGGGAGTCTCTATCTGGTGTGTGTGTGGGCAGCACACACCATCCTCACACACCACAAAACTGGGGCTCACAAATTCCCGCCCACCCTCCCTCTCCTGCCTCCTCCTGTCATCCCTGCCTCAGCTACGCCACCGCTGGCTCCTGTCAGCCCCTCTGCTCACCTTCAGCCCACCATCTGTGTGCTGGATTCGCTGCGGGTCTGCCAGTCTCCATCGGCGTCGTGGCTGGAGGAACCCTTGTCTCCGCCTCCAGCCTCGTCCGGTGTGGTCTGAGTTAGACATGTGCCTGTGTATGCTGCTTCTTCGATATGGATTACCCTTATGTGGATTATTAAAGACTGTTTACCGTCATCTTCTTCTTATTCGTGCATCTCTCCTACACCACACCGTGACAGAAAACCGGACCAACAAAATATCAAGTAGCGGCGTCTCCCCCTCGTTTTGTTTTCCGTTTTTGTCAGTTTTTATTTTTTGTCATAGATATCACCGACCGATTCATCGCCCTAGCCCATAGAGACCTTCCCCTTTTGGAATATGCTGTGGAGTTCAGCCAGCTCGCTGTTCGAACGGCGTTCAACGATGCCACGTTGAACTCCCTGTTATGGATCGGGGCAAAGGGCAAGTCGACTTCCCAGACACCACCGGACTATGCTGGTGGGAGGCAATCATCTGGTGCCTGGAGAGTGTCTACCCCCGATCTGGAAAACAGCCAGACCCAGAGCCAGCGAGGACAGCGAGAGCGCGGAGGGAAGCTCCACCCATTGCACCATGGCTGAGGGTGAGCTGAGCTCAATGGACTGTAATTGGGATATATATGCAGACATGCCCCCTCTTCTCACGCCTTAGTCTAAACTCTCTGCCTGCCCTGAAACATCAGTCTGCCCTGAACACTCTGTCAGTCCTGTTTTGGATATGGAGGCCGTTTGTGAACTCTCTGCCTGCCCTGAATTATCTATCTGCCCTGAACTGTCTGCCAATGGGACAGCGACCACGGAGGTCGTTCCCCTGTCCGCTACGCTTCCGGTGTTGGGAGTCTCTATCTGGTGTGTGTGTGGGCAGCACACACCATCCTCACACACCACAAAACTGGGGCTCACAAATTCCCGCCCACCCTCCCTCTCCTGCCTCCTCCTGTCATCCCTGCCTCAGCTACGCCACCGCTGGCTCCTGTCAGCCCCTCTGCTCACCTTCAGCCCACCATCTGTGTGCTGGATTCGCTGCGGGTCTGCCAGTCTCCATCGGCGTCGTGGCTGGAGGAACCCTTGTCTCCGCCTCCAGCCTCGGAGTCCCGGACTCCGCCTCGGCCCTTCGACCCAGCGGCTCCACCATGGCTCCTAGCTTCCTCCTCTCCGCCATGGCCCATCAGTCCACTGGCTCCGCCGGGCTCCCTCGTCCCTCCGGCTCCGCCTTGGTCAATCGTCGACCATCCGCCGCCTTGGGACTCCACTCCTCTGGCTACACCTCGTCCCTCTGGCTCTGTCAGGCTCCTCCTTCCCTCCGGCTCCACCTCGGTCTACTGTCGCTCCGGCTCCTCCGCGGCCTTCCGGATCCCCGCCTCCACCTCGGTCACCGGCGCTATCTGCTCCGCCTTGGCCCTCCGGATCCTCCCTGTCGCCCTGGCTCATCGGCTCTTTGTCTCCGCCTCCGGCTCCTCCTCCACCTGCTCCGCCACCGTCGGTTGGCCCCTTGGAGTCGTTAGCCCTTCCTCCACCATGGCTCCTCCCTCCGTCGGCTCCACCGTGGGCCGCCATCATGGCTACGGCCTGGGTCTCTCCTGGCTCCTCCTGCTCCAAGTCCCTACTATCTTCTCCCTGGCTCCTCCCTCCATCTGATCCGCCCTGGCTCCTCCTGTTTCCTCCATGGCACCTCCCTCTGTCTGATCCACCCTGGCTCCTCCTGTTTCCTCCATGGCTTCTCCCTCCGTCATCTCCACCCTGGATTCTGTTCACTGTCCTCCTCCCGGGAGCCCGTCCTCCACCCAAACCTCCACCTGGGTTGTCCACCTGCCTTCCTGCCAGCCCAGCGCCATCCCCTGTCACCATCCCACATCCACTCTTTTGTCCTCCTCCTAAGTTCCCCTCCGTCCCACCCTTTCTTCCT